AAATGAGATGGAAAAACCATGGTTAAACAACATCATTATTAAGGATATTCATAAAAAGCGAAAGCTATGCGATAAATACGTGAGGACTAGAAATCAAAAAGATTATAATAGATATCGTGCCCTTAATGATGGGCTTAAAAAATGATCATAAATGTCAGAATCAAATACGAACAAGAAATTGCCTCGTCGATGTCTACTAAACAATTAGCCTTAAACTCAAAAGTATCCATCCACTATTACTTTAAATGATGAAAATGGGGAACCGCTGTCGAGTGAATATCTAATGTGGGTTTTATTTGCCAAACAATTTGACACAGTGTTCACAAAGGAGAATGATGGAGACCCATTGCTATCACTTCCAGCAACATCCCGTTCTATTGCAGGGATGACGATGCTGATGATTTCACACCTGAAAAAGTAAAAGAGACTCTGAAAAATTTAAAAACTGATGCCAGTCCAGGTCCTGATAATCATGTACCAGTTGTATTTCTTCAGAGATGTTCTAGTAGTGTGAGCACTATGTTGTCGAATATGATGAATGAAGCACTAGAAATTGGTAAATTACCAGATTAGCGGAGATCCTCTATTGTATCACCATTACACAAGAAAGGCGATAAGCTCATAGAAAGCAATTATAGGCCAATTTTAATAGGCCAAAACGATTTTATATAGTTACAATATATTAATGAATCTGCGAATTTAACTTATAATAAATATCCACTTAAGTTACAGTTTAGCATCAATAAGCCACTTAGTTAATCTTTCTTTAAATGATTTTAATTTTGTTTCATTTTTTAGTTCTAGAGGTAGTTCGTTATAGATTTTTTTACCAGTATAAAAGTAATTTTTTGCAAAGTTAAATTTTCTCCACGTTTAAAGCGTGTTTCATACTCGTGAGTTTTTGAATTAACCAGTAAGTTATTTTTATTAAGAACAAAAGGGGGTGATTTATAATATAAATTTTTTATTTGAAGTATTTGAAATTGAGTAAAAATTAAGTCAGATGGATATCGCAGATTTAACTTAAATATAATTTTCAAAATTCTTTTTTGTATTAGGTAAAGAGGCTGAGAGTTGTGTGATAGGCAGCACCCCAACCAATTATTCCGTAAGTGATTGTACCAGTGAAAAATAAGTAGAAATATGGAGGTTCCACTTTAGATTTGAGTCAATATGAATTCCTAGGTAGGTAACATGCTCAGCTCTGCGTAAAGACCAGATATTGTTTCTAAACAATAATTTTATAGTAAGTTTATTGTTTGTAGGTAGTCGATCATTATAATTATACTGTGTTTTATCTAAGTTGTTAGTAAATTATTGTCAAGCCACTGTGACATAAATTGCAAGTCCAAACTAATGCGGTTCTCGACTTCGTCCCAATTGTTACCTTCAACAAACAAAACTGTATCATCAGCAAAAGAGATTATTTTACCGAAAACATCAATAGTAAATAGTTGATTTATGTATATAAGGAAAATATGGGACCTAGGACTGCAGCCTGTGGAATTACATAGGTTACAGTCTTCGGCTTACTGAAACAGTTATTAATCTCCGTCATCTGTTGTCGATTTTTCAGGTAACTTTCAATTAGTAAGTGAACAGGTCCATTTATTATTCGACAGTATTATATTATTTACGCATCCGGTCATTTTTGTTGCCATAGTGGTTTGACTTCTTCCGAATCCGGTTAGTGCGATCCAATGTATTTGAATTTCATTTCCTGTCGAATAATCTTCCTCTCGATTTCGAGTTTGCATCTTATCGGAATTTTAGATGTTGTCATGCATTTTGTTTTCTCGATTAAGATTCTCATGTTGAATCGTTTCGCTGTTTTATAGAATTGGTAAAAAAGTTTCTGCAAGTCACCTTCATTTTCTGAAATTAGAGTGGAGTAACATATTCCCATTTTGTATCCTTTATGTTTTAAAACTTGTTTAATTATTTCATCCATTATAATATTAAATAAAAGTAGACTTAAAGAATCTCCTCGTCTTGTTAAGGTGTCCTAATATCGTATATGGTATTTGTCTGTCGTAATGAAGATGGATAACGTCATCTAGTCGTATTCGATAGAAGGCTTTTTCTATATCGATAAAACACATGTAGACTGGACCGTTACATTCGATGGATTTTCAAGTTATTTGCCTTAAGATGAATCTGTACAAGATCTTCCCGATTTGAATCCTTGCTGTTCTTCTGCCAATGTAATATGGGTAATGTAGGTATTTGAGTGTCGTGTTGAGTAGATCTATCCCAGGTGGATTGATGGATTTTTTTTTGTGTTCTTTTTTGAAAAGCAAAATTGTGCTAACACACCATTCGTCTGGTATTTTATAATGAAACATGATTTTCTTTATTAAAATTTGTAATTGTTGCAATTAAACTACTTCATCTGACTCCATATTGAACCAGTTAAAATTCTGTGACTAAGTTTGTGGACCATGTTTGGATAAAATAGATAAAGACAGAATTTAGAGGGAACAAAAATCTAAATAGTTATCAATGGAAAACCGTACGTCAATTACATTCCTTCAGAAATGATACAACAATGTTCCCTAGACAATTTAAATATTCCAATATCCATTTAAAAAAAAAAAATAACCAACAGTATGGTCTGTTCATAGATATAAGAAAGTGACCAATTGCTTTTGAATGGGATTATCCAAGGGTGGTCATTAACCTACAATACAACAAGATTATTTCCTAAAGTTTCGGAATTTAAATTCAGGTAAAATGGTGGTACCTAATAGAAAATATTTTTATACCTACCTGTTTTATATTATATTATATTTATATATTTTGGTATACAGCGAGTGTTGAATCGTGTGCGAATTATGCAAAATATGTGCGAGTCTAGTGTATCTCAGGAGATGCTCCCGCCCAAATGTAGAAAACACTATTCATTTGAGACTAAGGAAGTTATAAACAATGTTTATTTGACTCTCATCGAACGTGGTGCCAGCAAGCAAACAACTTTAGAAAAAACGGCCACATTGACGAAAATTCCAACATCAACAGTATGGAAAATTGCGAATAATCCCATTTAAGCGAGGAAAAAAAGAAGCAATGCTGACATTTTCTCGAGTGTAGATGAAAGTGATCAAGATATAATACGGCGTAAAATTTACCAGTTACACGAGAAATAAAGCGTGCCTTATGGAAGTGTATTCAACAATCTTTTAGAATTCGGAAATGGCGACTGGAATATCTAGAAAAAATTATGATTCACAGAAAACAACAAAGGCCAATTATTTACTTGGATGAAACCTGGTTCGACACTTATGATACCCCGGAAAATATTAAAGATTCTTCTCTGGATTACCATGAAGACACCACCGCTGATTTATTTGAAAGTTGGTTTAAAAACAAAGTAGTTCCAAACATTCCTCCTAATACCGTAATTGTAATGGGCAATGCAAGTTATCACAGTAGACAGTTGACTAAAATCCCTTCCTCATGTGACACAAAAGCGACAATCCTAAACTACATGTATAATAACGACATTTATTTTCAAGTAGATTATACCAAAAAGCAATTAATTGAGGTTCTACAAAGCTGAACCTACAAAAGGAATACGTCTGTGATAATTATGCAAAAAATCTAGGGCATACAGTTTTAAGGCTCCCACCTTACCACTGTATATTTAATCCCATTGAACATGTTTGCCACCAACTGAAATCTGCCATTCATCGTAACAATGTTTTTCCCCGTGTTAACTCCAATGTCCTCAAACTTATAGAAACCGAAGTTTTTAACATCCCTCCACAAAGTTGGGCAAATTCTGTTAAACATATAGAAACGGCAGAACAATCGTATATCCATATTGCAGATAATATAGAACAAATAATAATTAGAACAGGAGATGATAGCGATAGTGATACTGATATATTATGTGAATTTATGTAATTTAAGTAGGTAATAAAAATAATTTGTAATTTTATTTTAGATTTAAACATAAATACATAAATAAATAAATAAATATTGTTTAGTATCTTTCCTAACAAAACCCCAAATAATCAGTTTCACTTTCTTATATCTATGAACAGACTTTACCTCCTGAATGATGGGTAGTGCGGTGGATTATGTTTTAATTATTAAATCCTCCTGTTCTTTTTCATTTTCTTTTTTTTTTCTATCACTTCCGTTGTACATTCAAAATCTAATCTGCATACAAATCTACAAAATCTACATACTCCTGGGACTAAACTTTGACCAGTTCTAAATTGCCCTGTTAAGGATAATTATATACAGAGTGTTCAAAAAGTAAGCTGCCAAACTTTAAGAAATGATTCCTTGCGTGATTTTAAGTCGAAAAATTTATATAAACACTAAACATAAAAATTAACATTGCAAAATTGCATTTGGATTGTAGTAGATGCATTTAAATGGTTTTTATTTTTTTAGCGAAAACCGTGCGTCGTACGAAAACCAGTCCGTACACCAAATTTGCTCCAAATTGAATGGTTATTTTAAAAATCATTTTTGTTTTCAGAAAAAGCAGTGGCGTGCCATTTTTTTCTTTAAAAATATTCAGTCCAAATGCCGTACAGACGCCACTGGTACATATAAAAATAAAGCTTTTGTGTCAAAAACCACCTCTCAATAATTAAAAGATGTACATCAAATTTGATAAAAGTATCGAAGGTGATATAAAAGTTATAAAAGGAAAAACTAATTTTTTAGGAAATTATCTTGAAAATCATGCATTTTTTTACCTATGCTTATATGAAATTTTCGTCTTAAAATCACGCAAGGAATCGTTTCTTAAAGTTTGGCAGCGTACTTTTTTAACACCCTGTATAATTTATACAAATATGTTTTGTTGTAATTAATTTTCTGCGAATAAACTTCATTTATAATTTATTATTATTTATTATAGGAGTGCGATAGTGCGGATTTAAATCTCGCCTTATACAGGGTGGGCGAGAAAATCGTTCATATTGAGTTTGTTGATTAGCTGTTGACAAAAAAACACACAGGACAACATTCGTACCCGTTTATTTGTGATAATGTTTCAAATAAATAATCTTTAGTGCTGCAGCTTCGTAGAACAGGTCGAGTTATTAGTCGTGGTTTCCTCTTGAATTGTACTGAACGGAGGTACGTACTGATTCAAGTCGACGTACTCGCCCAGATCGTATAAATTTTCGTAAATGTTCGCGTTTTCCCGGTCCTGGATTTTCTGCAGGTCTTCAATGTTGATGGATAGCGCAGACTCGATGCTTTTCCTGGAGATTTCGATTACCTTTTGCGATACTCTTCCGTCGAATAAATTTTTGGCCTTGATTTGCGGTTTGTTCGCGCTGAGTACGAAAACATTGACCTAGGGCAATTGCAATCGAGTTATTTCAATTTTTTTTTTTTGAGTTCCGACGATGAAAAGTTTAAAACTCAAAAATTGCTTAAATAATTTTTGTATCAAACACTTAACCCTCGATATTATACACCTACATCACTTTTAGTTAGTTTTACGTACATAGCAAGGCTTACAACAAACTCCCTCTCCAACTGAGATCAATCACCTCGCTAACTTCATTCAAACAAAAACTTAAGCAATACATTTATCATAATAGAGACCGATCATAAAATTAGTAACTATCAAATTGTATATACGTATTCCTTTTTTGAATTCACTCTAGCAGCGTCTACCAATTTGAATTAATGTCTATATAATTTATTTGTTACATTTTATTTTATAAATGGTCTCATACACTCGTTTTAGGGGGTTGCATGAGAGCAACTATGTTGGATGCCGCCCCCACAGAAACCGAATAAAGGCTCTTTATTATTATTATTATTATAATACATTTCTTAGATTTGCTTCAAGTGTTCGCTTACTTCGGCGAAAGTCTCTCTTTTTTTTAATTAGCAGGAAATGTTTTTTTTCTCGTTCTTCTCGCTTCATAAAAACTGATAATAACCATGGTTTTTCAGAAAACAACAAAAACAACTCATCTAATTTATTAATTTTATTAGATAGAGAACAATAAAAAATAATTCCTAATAAATGAAATACTTTTAAGTCATTTAATTACTTAAAGCCGGGGCTATTTTAATAACAGATATTTTATTGTTGTTTATATCACGGAAACTGCTATCCTATTTGTCAATTTAACGTGATATTCAATGTTCAAGTATTTTATGACTTTTAACGTTTGAAATGGCCAAATATATTAGTAATGAAAACTGGTCGAAATTGCAATGTAGAATTAACTACGCAATTCACGCAAGTGAAGCAAATGTTCCGTTTTAATCAAATATGACAAAACTATTTCGACAATGAAAAGTTGAAAACTCCAACAAAGAATTGTTTATTGACAAATGCTTGTATAATATTGCTTAAATAATTTTTGTATCAAACATCCTATTTTTTTTAATTAACAGGAAACGTTTTTTCTGTTCTTCTCGCTTCATAAAAAATGATAACTGTGGTTTCTCATAAAACAACAAAACAACTCACTCGGGCTATTTTAATAACAGATATTTTAATATTGTTTATTAGTTAATACTAATTAATATCATTTGTGAGATTATAAGCCATGCAGCACCTCCAATTCGGTGGTAAAGTTATTGATAAATTATTTTGTATTGTTTGTACATATAGATATACTTCTATACATATAGACATTATTCGTCAAAAGTGCCGTTTTAAAATTGACACAAGTGTTACATTAATGATGTAATAATAATAATAAGCTGCGTAATGAATTATTAAAGTGAGATTTAAAATGATAATTTAAGATGATTTGTTTGTATTGTTGTTCTTCCTTTCTGTTCTGGAAAGTTATAACAATTATACGACTTGATAAAAAACGTTCCCTTTTTTTTCAGCAAATTTCAGAAAAGGGTCTAGCATTGGCAACGACGTAAACGAAAAGTAGAAAATCTAAGAAAGGTTATCTCGTTTTCCTTGTAATATACGGAAACTGTCATCCTATTTGTCAATTTGAATTAATATTCAATGTTTAAATATTTTATGACTTTTAACGTTTGAAAGTAATGAAAAGTGGTCGAAATTGCAATGTAGAATTAAGCACGCAATTCGTTTGATCAAGTGAAGCTGAGTTACAGCGTTTTAATGTTTATTAGTTAATATTAATTAGTTAATATTAATTAATATCATCTGTGATATTATAACTCACGCACGTACATATAGATATACTTCTATACATATAGATATTATTCGTCAAAAGTGCAGTTCTAAAATTGACACAACGTTAATAGTGGTGGCTTTTACTTGATGAAAATCCATTTATCAAAATAAATAAGAACTAAAAGTTCAGATTGTTTCGACAATACCGTGTCTTTATCAAATGTCTGTGTTAATAGTGTTATTTACTAAGCAATAAAAATGAGCTACGTATTAAATTATTAATATGAGATTCAAGACGATGATTGAAGATGATTTGTTTGTATTGTTTTTCTTCCTTTCTGTTCTAGAAAGTTGTAACAATTATACGACTTGATCAAGGCTATTAAATGAGGTTAGGAATGCTGCTTGATGCTTTTGAAAACCTTTTTCGTTTTTCAGCAAATTTCAGAAATTGATCGAGCCTTGACAACAGCGTAAACGAAAAGTAGAAAATCTAAGAAATACTGCCTCGTTTTCCTTGTACTATATTGAAACTGCTGTCCTATTTGACAATTTGACGTGATATTCAATGTTCAAGTATTTTATGACTTCCAATGAAAAGTGGTCGAGTGAAGTAAATATTCCTGTCTTACGGTGTTTTAATGAAATATGACAAAACTATTTCAACAATGAAAAGTTTTAAAACTCCAACACAGAAGCCTTTATTGACAAACGCTTCTCCAATATTGGTTACTTAATTTTGTGCAACTCTCGATGTGTTTGTTTATTTTTTTTATTTTGTTTGTTTTCGCTTAGTTTGTTGCCTCTCCATTTATGAATTAGCAATAAAACGTTTTTTTTTCCTAGCTGTTCTTTCCGCTTTAAAGAAAAAACATAAAATTAAATGAAATGCTGATCTCTACTCTACCTGATAGGTTTTCTTGCAATACTACGATTTTCTAAGTTGTTAGCAAGTCTCTTTTGCGCAATAATTACTAGTAAGTCTTTTAAATCCTTAAAGCCAATGCAAACGTCTCCAGTTTGTGATAAATATTACACATAGTGATAATTCATCAAAAGTACCATTCTAAAAGCGACACAACAAAAATTAATATGAGATTCAAGATAATTTAAGATGAGCTGTTTGTGTTTTTTCTTCTTGTTTTTTGACCGGAAAGGTATGATAATTGTACAACTTAATATAGGCTTTTAAATGAGGTTAGAGATCCAAATTTTCCTATTTGAAATAAGCCCATAATCCGAATTGCTTATTTTTTTCAGCAAATTTTAGAAAAGAATGAAGAATTGGCAACAGCGTATGCGAAAAGTAGAAGATCCAAGAAATTTTGCCTCGTGTTGCTTGAATTTTACTGAAACTGCCTCCTTATGTGTCAACTTGACGCGATAATCAATGTTCAGTTATTTTATCTTCCAGTGTTTGAAATGGCCAAATATTTTAATGAAAAGTGGAATTGGAAGTGACGTTCATAGATATTTAACTACCTGCAATTTGTTATTAAAAGCAGTGGATTTCTTCCCGCAGGTAATCTTCTTCAGCATTTTGCAGAAAGCCGGACAAAATATGTAATAAAATACGAAATTGACTGTGACATTAATAGCCTCTAGCACAGTGACAACCTGCCGAAGGGTTTCAATAGTGGTGCAGCTAACTTTGCTATGGTCGCCCTGAAATAAAAGATTGGTGGCAGCCGTCCTCGAGAGTAGACTCTGCGGAATTTCCGATATCAGAAAGAAAATTATGATGGCCACCAGAGTTACAGTCAAGTTGGTGTGATCCTGAAAAATAACTGTCACAGTTTCGCGGGCCAGTTAAAACCAGAAGGACAACCGAGTTGAATTTTTCGAAAGTATACGCATATGTCGACAACGGGAGGTCCTAGGGGACCCCCATTGGTACACAAATGATCAGCGTCGAAAAAAAATTTTTTTTTTTTAATTTTCCGTTCTCCGTTCTCCGTTTCTCTGTAGACCTGGTATTAATTGGCTATATCTTTAGGACGGTTTGCAACACGGCCTTCAAATTTGGCTTCTTTTCAGCCGTGCACGAGCTACACAAACCAATAAAAAATAAGTCCGATCAAACCACGGCATCCATCTTTTTTTTTAGATTTTCAATTGTTTTTTGGACGTTGCTGTGAAACACGATAAGTGTCCGAAATTTGAAGCTATCGACTTCAAATTTGGCAGACGAATAGAGCTTGGTTCCCTAACGGAACCTATTGAAATTGGGGGGTTGGGGGGTCGGAAAGTATTTTAAAAAAATTAAAAACCGCGTTTGCATGGGTCCAAAAAAAAATCATTTCTCGAAAATGGTTTACTTTATTCCTCAAAAATTTTTAAAAATGTACAAGGTGCGCCGCAAATTCAAAAAAACTGAAAAATGGTTTGCCCCATTGTGTTTCGCAAGTCAGTTTCTTTTACATGACGATACAGCCCGTATTAACAGCTAAAACTTTTATATTTAAGATTTTCACCTGTTATACAGGGTGTTCAAGATATTAAGTGCCGTATTCAAAAATTTACGCTGCTCAAGATACTTGAAAAAATGTATGTGCAATGCAATTAGAGTTGTTTGCTCTGGAGATATTGCCATGGAACTAGTTCTTTGCATATGAGGTGCCAATAAGGGTGCAGTATATGGTTAACCATCTCTTTAGTGTTCATGGGTCATAAAGATAGTCATTTTTAATAAATTTTCGATCTCGATTTATTGCTCTTAGAACTTTTTTTCATTCTTCTTCTCTCAGTATTACATATTTGAAAATATTAATGAGAAACACATGAAAATTTCTTGAATTCAATGTAAAAGTAAATCAAATATAGACACGTTATTTTTTTTTAGTTGTTTAAAAGAAGAAGAAGAAATAATATAGCCTTATCACACACACCTTTAACCTTCTATGACATCGCCAGAATTTGCTAATAAAAAATTTGTTCGACACTGATGTAAAGCATGAACTCGGTTGTCGCCCAGGAGACCCGACAAGAAATGAAGATCGCATTCTAAACCCACATTTAAATTGAATCATAAATCAACAAATTTTTTGGTTGGGACCACTTGTATCCCCTCTTGTATCCCCTCCACTTCCACATTTATCGCTAAAAGACCTGTTTCAATTCATAACTTTTATGGGGACGGAGTAAACCGATTACATACTCCACCACTGACTTGTCTGGTCTCCAGCGGTTAAAAAAAAAGCATTTACCCGCATTCTACATTTCCCGTTCGCTTTTCTTTTGACCCGTTTAGCCCGTCTCAGGGAAAGTATTAAAAATCCGTTACCAAACATCAGGATCACCGCCGGAATTAGAGCGAACAGAAATAAAGTCACCCAATTGAAAATTTTATAAAATCTGGAAACATAAATAGAATGCAAGAAACAAAACAGAAAAAAATTACGCCCCCGGGTGGGCTCGAACCACCAACCTTTCGGTTAACAGCCGAACGCGCTAGCCGATTGCGCCACGGAGGCGATGTGAATTTTTTGGCGAGAAATGCTACCATTGTCAACGAACAGAATCGTTAAACTAATTTTTATCTTGTTTTGTCCAAATACGTCGATATCGAACGATTCTCAATACTTTTAATGCACCGACATTAATTAGCGTACGTGTCAGATACCGATTGTTGTAACGCGTAACCTTGCGGTGGTGCGCAATTTAAAATGACACAAGCTATGAGCAAGATTCTTTCTCTTTAAATGTTAAAATTGCACACAATTTTTGTTTGTTTGTTTGGACGTGTACAGTTGGAGACTTTAATTCCACCGCAATGCTTTTCAAACTAAACCAAGAGGCAAGGGAAAAAGTTGTTATCAACTGTAAACAACTAACCAAACTATTTTTGACTCTGGTTGATTCAGAAAATCCTTTCTTTAATCGAAGTTTTAAATGCTACTGCGCGAGTAGTGACATGTCGATTTATAATAATAATAGTAACAGTATTTATCTAATCAAATTTTGATTACGTTACGTTGTGAATGGGGGTTAACCTTATGTTGAAAGTCAGGAGATACTATATATTAAGCACTACTTACGTAGAATCGAAGATGGCGGTCGTTACTATATCGCCATCTGGAGACAAGGTGAATATGAAAAAATACGGCAGGTTGAACAATAGGGAAATAAAAAATGAAGCCACCATCAACCTCCTAGCAACCCATGGACAGCAAAACTTGGGTTTCGTGCACTGAACTGGGTTCCATAGATATATTACCCGGTCTAAAAGACATTTACGCAATAATCAAATAGTAAATTAGTAGAATTTTACCTAGAGTCAAACATACGATAGTCGACACGCTTAACGTATTTACGAAACTTCCAACCGGTAAGTTAACCAAAGCGTCGTAATAATTAAGTCCATATTTCCATAAAATTCCCCTGCACAGACCACCGAATAGAGTCACTATGGCCATTGACAAGTCCATGGCCGCTAAAACTTGAAAGAAAAATTTAATTTTCCTAGGGAACAAGCAACAAGTTGATGTGATGTGAACAAAACATTCAAAGTGCTAAGAGCATATACAATACAATCCTCCGAAAAAATGCAAATTACATTTATTTCTTGCTTTTTTTTAAATGGTTCACCGCAAATGCTTAATATTTTACCTGCCAGATACGTGTATACTGATCCAATCAGTTGTTTCCTCCTCAGTACCAATAAAGACAGGACGTTGCCACATATTCCGAAACAGCAAATTATGGGTGTTATTACCGAATATACTATGATACCTGTAATCACCGGACAACTTATGTTATATACAGGGTGTCCCACGAAATGACTGCCATAGCTTGGGAGTGTGTCCAAATGTCAAAAGAATATATACCCGGAACACTATTCTAACTGAGCTTCAAGCAACTAAAATTTTAAAGACCCCAGTATTACTTTCGGCTGTTAATATTATTATGAAAAAGTCCAGGTGGCTGTGAGTCTTAAGTATTGCGACAGCAAACGTCAATTAATTTTGCATGTTTATTTTCGTGTGTTACATTAAAATACTCTTCAAGGTATAGTCTATCTCAATCTTCATCGTGTTGTTTTTCGACGGCCTCTCCCCAATAAATCTTTAACGACATTATTGCCTATTGTTAATGGTTAATGCCATTACCAAAAAAAAATATTCTTTCATTTGTCGCTTGATGCAAAACAGGTTACGAAAAATGTGTATAAAACTTTAATCATAAAACTTTAAAAGCGACCTATATAATTAATTAATTAAAAGTGGAGAATTGGAAAAAAGGAATAAAAGTAGTGATTTTTGAACTCACTGTAAAGATAACAGTGATCAGGACCTTGTTTTTATCTGAGTTGGCTTTTACTTGATGAAAATCCATTTAACATAATGAATAAGAACTAAAAGTTCAGATTTTCACGAAATTATATATATTATTTATATATTATATTATTTACAAACTACCTGCTACTATATAGACCGAAAAATGACAATAAAACCTTAATTAATGTTGTTGTGACAATTTAAGTTTAATAATGAACAGGTATTTAAATCGAATTGAACGTTAACCATACATACTTTTTGTGACTGTATGTCAAATATCAAAATTGTCAAAAATGTGTTTTTCCGTGGTTAAGTGTGTAGCATAATTAGAATCTAGACTATTGTTTTTAAACGCTCTTTTATGTTCGTTAATGCGTTTTTTGAAGGATCTACCTGTATGTCCAATATAAATTTTAGGTCATGATCCGCATTTCAACCTGTGGACACCTGATTTTTGAGATTTTGGATATTTCGTTTTATTGTTTTTTAAATATTTTCCTATTGTGTTGTTAGTTCTGAAAGCTATTTTTAAATCACATTTTGACAAATGTTTTTAAATTTTTTCACTAGGTTCGTCTATGTACGTAATGGTTTTAAATTATTCGTGTTCTGTATTAGGTTTCGGATAAATAGAGTTTACTGTTGTCTGTATTTGCTTTTTATTTATAATTTTATCTATAATGGACGGATTGTCGCCGTTGTTCAGTGCAATTTGTTTAAATATATTAAGTTCTTTGTCGTTATTTTCTGTTGAGAGTGGCGTATTAAAAAGTCTGTGTATAAATGAGTTAAATGCAGCCATTTTGTGTGTATACCGGTGATTTGAGCTGTTATGTATGACTGTGTCCGTGTGTGAAGGTTTATGATATATTGAAAAAACTAATTTGTTTTGCGCTTTCGTAATAGTTATGTCTAAAAAATTAATAGAGTTATCCTGTTCAATTTCGATAGTGAATTTTATACGAAAGACATCATACACGTATCTATACCACCGCAAAAAAACTTTTACGTAAAGGATGTTCTAGTATGATATTTTCCAAATTATCCATAAAAATCTCGGCTAACAAAGGACTAAGTGGGTTTCCCATAATCAAACCTTCTTTAGAGATATAAATCTGTCCATTAAATTCAAAATAATTTTAGTCTAAAGATACTATTAAGCAATCTAATAAATCTTGTTTCACCAATGGGCTAACCTGTTTCCGAGTTAGGGTGGAATCTACTAAATCTATCACATCCATAGGTGGAATACTAGGAAATAACTATTGTACATCAAAAAAAACTCTCACAACAACATTAATTAAGTTTTTATGGTCATTTTTCGGTATATATAGTAGAAGATAGTTTGTAAATATAATTTCCTCCTAAATAAACAAAAAAAAATATATTATTACCAAAACCTTTGAGAGTCCGTCCCTAATGTTCTCTCCCTTAATATCCACCGGACCCGGGCTTTGTTGCCGTCGGCAGGTAACTTCCGTAACTGCGGGCAACAGCCAGCACGACATAGACTGAGACAGACTATAATAGACTTAACGTAGGCCGGATGAGAACTTTGCCCAATTTCTTAGTTACTCGTACCACATCTTACATGTACAAGCTTTAAAACCTGCCGACCAGGCTTCAAGACTTGAATCTAGTCGCTGGATATTGAAAAATCAACGGATTTGTCGGATAATATTATTTAATGATGAAGCTCGCTCGGCCGAAACGGTATCGCGGGATTCACATTGTTGGGCACTTGAAAATCCACGACAAACTCGGGAATTCCATTTTCAAGATAGATTTTCGGTGAATATTTGGTGTGACATTGTTGATGACCGTCTCATTTGTTCGTTTATAATTCAAGAACGTCCCATAGCTATTCGTTATTTATGTTTCATTGAAAATGATCTCCCTATATTACTTTAAATGTAAGACAACGAATATCGATTCAGCACGATGGCGCACCTCCTCACATTTGTCGACAAATAACAGAATTTCTCAATCAAAATTATACAAACCGGTGGATTGGAAGAGGTTCGGCAGTTCCTTGGCCAGCAAGGTCACCTGACCTTTATCCCTTAGATTGCTTTTTGCCGCAGAAACTATTCGTGCTGATCCTGAGACTATGTATGCAGCAACTGCGTGGACATTTTGAACAATTAATTCAATCAAATAAAATGTAAATAAATCAAAAATAATAAAACAAAAAATAAAAAGGTTTCCGGGTATAAGAAATCACCCCAGCAACACACTCCCAAGCTATGGCAGAGATGTCGTGGGGCACCGTGTATGTTATATTATTGTAACTCATTTTCTTGGCAGTATTAAAAACATGCAAGAACAACTTTTTAGGTGTTTTTTAATTATTTATTTGGCGAATTATTAATATTTTTAATTTAATTTGTTTATGATTTTTGATTTTAAGATATTTGTTTTTTCAATAACTCGCGTTCATGGATAAAACTACGATAACTACGTCATCGTTGAAGTGTGGAGGGTCGTATACCTACCTAGTTTTGAAGAAAGTAAACGAGATAATTATAATATAATTTATTGGTTGATACTAATGATTGCACGGACTCAACATGAAAAAATTATTTACTTTCTGAAACCTAGGAAAGTTCAAGTACAATCAACAATATATTCATCACAAAGTCTGACCGCATATCCCAAATGTCAAGCTCATATTGTATTTTTACTTGCGATACTACATCAGCTGTTTTTAAAAAAGGTAAAACCGCAGTTTTTCAAAAAAACGTAATGATTTAATTGATTGGGCAGAAGTATTTACAAAGGTTTACTCTTCTCCACACGATATCGTTACAAATAAAATTGGTTTTGTTCTTGCAATGTATGGTGCTCCAAAAAAAAATTGATTTCATAGATATAGATAGATAGATAGATAGATAGATTATTTATTCACAAAACCAGGTGATGCAATGCATACAATTACAAGTTTCATTGTAAAAACAATGTATATCATAATCTTAAGTAATGTATAGAACGAATACGAGTATATATTTATATAACAAACATGACAAACAAGTTAATGAAATTTAAAATAAAAGAGAGTATACATTAGAAAAATCTCGGTAAACTTTTGACGTTATTTACGATGGTCTCAGGTACGCTTCAAATTCTTTCAGGCTGTAGAAAGCATTGGCCGACAGGAGCCTCTTGATGTGTTTTTTAAATTGATTTATAGATACATTTTTTAAGCTTGGAGACAGCAAATTATAATATATATAATATATTATATAATAATATATAATATGGTCCCGCGTAACTTAGTGATTTTTTATAAAACATATGGTTGAGTTTTCGCTTCAGCAGATGTTCTCTATTGCGAGTATTGTAACTGTGGATATCAGTATGCTTCCTGTGTGAATATTTATTTTTATGTGTGATCAAGAGTATTTTAAATAGGTATATACAAGGCATTGTTAATATTTTGAGCTGTTGAAATGTCTCTTTGCATGATTGCCTCGGAGGAAGTTTAAAAATCAGCCTAAGTATTCTTTTTTGCTGTATAAACACTCTCTCAGCATCGTTCGCTTGTTCCCAGTTGACAATATTGTGTGAAATGGAAGAGTAAGCTGACGCGTAGTAAAAAGCTATTAGTGCCTTCTCAAGAAATGAATCTTTAATTGTTAATATTGCGAAAAAGGTTTTATTTAGTTTATTGCAGACATTGTCAATGTCCCGGTCCCATCTCAAGGAGCTATCAATATAAGAACCAAGAAACTTCGTGGTCTGATTTATTTCCAATGGCGAACCAGCAAAACTGATCGATAAGCCAGCTAAAGGTTTAATGTACTGACCAGTAAACTCAACCACAACTGTCTTTTCTACATTCACGATCAAATGACTTTGCCTACAGAAGTTATTAAACTGTGAGACAACAAGAGATACATCATCCATCAGCACTTCTGCATCTCTTCCAGAGACAAAGACGGACGTATCGTCCGCGTACATAAAGACGCGACAGTCACTGTTGAGAAATTCCGGCAAATCGTTCACATTGAAAAGAAATAATAATGGACCCAAAGTTCCCCCCTGAGGCGTGCCCAGGCTGACGCTATAAAGGTCTGAGTACGTTCCATTTATTTTGACACTTATTTTCCTATGATTCATATACGATATGATCCAATCATTGATAGGCCCCCTGTCTCTCCGATATCTAGTTTATCATAAATATGCTGAACAAGTTCATCTGACCCCGTTTCCGTAGAGTGACCAGCGCGGAAACCATGTTGCACATTTGTTATTATATCTTCTTGCTCTAAGAAATGTGTCATTCGATTGTACATGGCTTTCTCTAGGACTTTGGAAAAACAACTTGCGATTGTTATTGGCCTGTAATTCTTTATGCCTGTTGAATCCCCTTTCTTAAACACAGGAACCATTTTAGAATTTTTTAGCGCCGAGGGGAATTGCCCTAATAAAACAGAGGAATTAATAATCATAGTTAAATATGGGGCCAGGACTGCTTTAATAAGTCGTATAGGTATTTCGTCAATTCCCAAAGATTGTTTGTTTTTTAATGAGTGAATTGACACTACTTCTCCCACGGTATACGGCATGAAAAACATACTCTTCTCCCTGATGGGTGGAAAAGTACCGGTATCGTTTTTACTGAATATAGAATTAACTTTCAATTGTACATGAGTGGCAAAAAAATGTCCGAACTCATTCGCTATTATTTTATCGTCAGTGGCAATGGCATTATTGACACGGATTTTTATACGATTTTTAATATTTTTTTTACCCAACTTATCGTTAACTAGTTCCCACAATTTTTTATTTTTATTGTCAGAAAGATTTATTAAACCAGAAAATAGATATTTGAAGTTTGTAAAATCTCCGTGGAACAATAAAACGGTACAGTTGTCTTGTCTACCTCCAACATCTGCTTCTGCCTGTCAGTATTTGTAGGGTGTGTATTATCAAGTTCAAGTGTGGCTAGGCAATGAGCTGAACCCAGAAGAATGAAGTTGCAAATGAACAGATAATTATTTGTAGTAAGAATTGTGGCTGCCAAAAAGTGGGATTATTTTGTTCGTCAGTAAGCATTGATTGTCACGGCATGATTTGGTCCAATATTAAATCAAGTACAACAGAAAAAAATATTTATGATTCTAATGAAGAGAAAATTGATTAGTCCCATTACTTAGAACAGCGAGATTCTGCAAGAAGAAGAAAATGAAGATGAAGAAATAACTGTTGAAAAAGAAGTGAACTATTGTAACAACATTTACTTCAATTTGAAAATTTTCCATATTACCATACTTTCAATCAATAGGATCAAATTTTCTTCATTACAATAGGTCGTGGAAGGTATGGTCTGTTAGTAGATATAAGAAAGTAATCAGTTGCTTTTGAATGGGATTATCCAAGGGTGGTCATTAACACACAATGCAACAAGATTATTACCTAAAGTTTCGGAATTTAAATTCAGGTAAAATTGTGGTCCGTAATAGAAAATAATTTTATACCTACCTGTGTTTAATATCCTTTGGTAAGTTTATTAGTAATCATTCTTATTTCGTGTGTAATGCAGCGTGTGTTGAATAGTGTGCGAATTATGCAAAATATGTGCGAGTCTAGTGTATCTCAGGAGATGCTCCCGCCCAAATGTAGAAAACACTATTCTATTGAGACTAAGGAAGTTATAAACAATGTTTATTTGACTCTCATTGAACGTGGTGCCAGCAAGCAAGCATCTTTAGAAGAAACGGCCACATTGACGAAAATTACAACTGTATGGAAAATTGTGATTAATCCCATTTCAGCGAGGACAAAAAGAAGGGACGCTGACATTTTCTCGAGTGTAGATGAAACTGATCAAGATATAATAATAATTTACCAGTCATACGAGGAACAAAGCGTGCCTACATTAGATATCTTAATTAGGAGGCTTGAAAAAGATGAAACCGGTGTTAAATGTGGCAAAACTACCTTATGAAAGTGTATTCAACACATGGCTTTAAGATTTTAAAAAACTGAGAAAAGGCAAGTTTTAATGGAATCTTTTAGAATTCGGAAATGGAGACTGGAATATCTAGAAAAAATTAAGATTTACAGAGAACAACAAAGGCCAATTATTTACTTGGATGAAACCCCGGAAAAGGGTTGGGTTGACTCAACTGATAAGTGAAAAACAAACGTGCCATCAAAAAGAGGTAAAAGAAAAACTATTTTGCATGCTGGCTCTAAAGATGGTTGGATTCCAAATGTCTGTCTGCGAAAAATATTAAAGATTAAAGAATTACCATGAGGACATCACCGCTGATTTATTTGAAAGTTGGTTTAAAAATAAATTAGTTCCAATCATTCCTCCTAATAGCGTCATTGTAATGGACAACGCAAGTTATCACAGTAGACAGTTGACTAAAACCCCTTCCTCATGTGACACAAAAGCAACAATCCAAAATTAAATGTATAATAACGACATTTATTTTCACGAAGATAATACCAAAAAGCAATTAATTGAGGTTCTACAAAGCTTGAATCTACAAAAGGAATGCGTCTGTGATAATTATATAGTATATTTAATCCCATTGAACATGTTTTGCACCAACTGAAATCTGCCATTCGTCGTAACAATGTTTTTCCTCGTGTTAACTCCAATGTCCTCAAACTTATAGAAACCGAAATTTTTAACATCTCTCCACAAAGTTGGGCAATCGTATATCCATATTGCAAATAATATAGAACAAATAATAATTAGAACAGGCGATGATAGCGATAGTGATACTGATATATTATGTGAATAATTTTAAGTAATTTAAGTAGGTAATAAAAATAATTTGTAATTTTATTTTAGATTTAAACATAAATACATACATAAATAAATATATATTGTTTAGTATCTTTCTTAACGAAACCACAAATAATTAAATTCTAAGCAAAGTACGGACCTGTTGGGTCATATTTCATTCTTACAGCTTGTCTTTCCTTAATTCGTATCAGTTAGTCACTTTCTTATATCTATGAACAGACTTTACCTACTGGGGAAACTATGTTAAAAAAAAATGCGCCAAGTACATTACCTCATAGGTGGTGCGAAGATGAGTGCATATTATGTAAAATATGAATTTTTTAATAGTGGAAACCGCGATATCTCACGTATGGTGGGTCGTGAGAAAAAAAGTGCCCGAATAATTTTTGTAGAGAATTGTATGATCTATAACTTTTGTCTGACCTATTTTCAGGATGCGAATTTTGCGTAAGTTTTGACTTATTTTTGTCGCCATTTTATCTTTTTCGAAAAATTCTCTTACCCGAGCGTGTGGGCCCGTCGATCCACACGTCACCTTCGGCACCTTTGAGTAACAAATCGACCTGGAGGAAGTAAAAACTCATGGCGATTTGAACCCGACAACGTCGGACGATCTCGTGAACGAATACAGCTTCGGAACTATCATAATCGTCTATCGAAAAATCGATGCATCCGCCCTACAAACTTTGAGTGTCAAATCCCGTTCTGATTTCGGTTATCTTTTTGCCAAATTAGCGCTAATGATATTTTCGTGTTTGATGTATTCTTTTGGTAATTCCGTGCTTAGTATGCGTCGGCCCAATATCGAAAATATCAAATTGCGCGGCTTATCGGCGAAATCCCGACGATGCAAGAGTGCCGAAAGTTAATTGGAATCGTCGGCTAGATTATTCGACGTGGAAACAGGAAAACCCGTTTCGTTTTGATTTACGATTATAACCGTCTGGCGCACTTTCACCTGAGATCGGGACTGCAAATAATATAAAGACGTATTAAATGTTGGACACGGAGCAAGAAATTAAAGTCATTTTAATGTGAGAAAAATTTGTATAGGGGTGGGTGGAACGAGGCGGCCCCCCGGGACAACTAGACTCACGTCAAAGTTTAACCAAAATTTTGTTTTTTGTTTTTTCTTCTAACAGTTATAAATTCTGGTAATTTGTACATTTTTAGCGCTTTGCGTAATACCAGGGGCAAAATGGACAGCTTAAAAATTCTAAAAATAAGCTATTCCATATTATTATCATAATCATAATTAATTTATTGAAAGTGTTATTTTTTGGATAATTCTATCGATTTAGCTTAAAGCCAGAGATTTGGAAAATATTATAAATACCAATAACTGATTTTTTAATCGATAGAAAAATAATGTTAATCAGTAATATATTTTTATTAAATACTTTTTAATAAATCATTATAGCTTAGTCAAAATTTGGGTAAATTTTAACATGAGAAAAATTTGTACAGGAGAAGGCGGGGCAAGGAGGCCCACCTCAAAAGTTAACCACAATTTTGTTTTTTTGTTTTTTCTTCTAATAATTATAAATTCTGGTAATTTGTACATTTTTAGCGCTTTGTGTAATACCAGGGGTAAAATGAACTGCTTAAAAATTCTGAAAAAAATCTATTCCATATTGTTATAAACGAATCATAACTAATTTATTGAAAGTGTCATTCTTTGGATAATTCTATGGTTTTAACCTAAAGCCATAGCTTTCGAAAATCTTATAAATACCAATAACAATTTTTTTAATCGATAGAACAATAGTTACTAACCAGTAACGTTTTTTTTTATTAAATACTTATTAATAAATAATTATAATTAAATAAATAGGGGAGAAGCATAGTCAAAATTTCGGTAAATTTAGTTAATTAGTCAAAGATAAATCGACTTGGTAGTTAAACGATACAAAAAATAATTAAAAGCTTAAGTAGGCCGCATAGCCCAACCGTCCCCTACACCTGCCCTACACAAGGTATTGGAGTCTGTTGTAAAATCTATTTTTCGGGAAATTGAGACAGAAATAGATATTGTTTTAGGCATCAAAAACACATAACAGTCAAGCATAAATTATTATTAACACTGGTCGATGGTAAAATTATTTATATACTTACTGATACCAAGCCTTCCATGAGATGCTCCATATGTGATTACCTACCAAAATGAACTATAAAAAAGGAACATTTTTTCATTGGGATATCTTTACTCCGTGCATGGATTCGCTGTTTTGAATCCATGTGGCACATTGCCTATAATATAAACAAATAGTTTGAAATTCAAAATCAATTTAGATGCAAGATACAACGTGCATTGTTCAAAAAACTTTCTATAAAAGTTACCTTTTATTTTTGGCAAAGATCCTAAAAATATTAAAATATTAACATTTTAAAACTAATGTCGGTCCAGCACTTATAGGACACCCTGTATACTATTTTAAATTTTAATTTAAACCATAAAACTTTTGAATATTTTTTTTCTTCTAAAATCAGTAGTTCCTGAGAAAAGGTACGGGCCCCTAATAAAGTGCCTATCCTGTACTCTTATCTTTTTGATTTTGCTTACAAAAATTTTGACAACTTATCCTACATTTAGCAATTAAAAGCATCGTTCCCAAATGATAATCGATTAAAATGACAATGGCATGGTAAAAAAAATCAACTATGTTCTGTCTACAACCATTTATTTTACTTGCGAATAAAACTATCGCCAGGTAAATACTGCGATATATACAATTAAAAATTATTTAAACAGTTTTACAAAGACGTCCTTGCAGGATCATTGTAAATAGTCCGCGACGGATCACAAAAAAAAAACACGCGCCCTTTTAGGTATTGTTTTTTTTACGACTAAATCGCTACATTGTTTTATTTTACAATAATTAAAACTGCCACAATTAATTAGTGAGAGCGAACGAATCCTTACTATCTACTCGTGCCGGATCATGTTTTCCAATTGTGACGTTGGCCCGGCGCCGGAGGAATCATATCTGAAATAAATTTAATAAATACATAAAAAAACATTAAAAATAAACATATATTAATATATAACTTTTCGCGTTTATAACATACAGCTATTAAATCATGTGGCATACCCAAAAAAACTGGGACATCTCAAAAAATGCTAATAAATTTTAGTTCAATGATAAAACGCTAGATGGAGCAACGAATTCGCGAGAATAGAACATCAGTTTTCAGGAAGGGGGTCCTATCTCTGTCCTGTACCGATATGTAGAGCAGTAGTGTGTCTAGTTAGTCAGCAATCCTGAAGCATTTTGAATTACGTCTGTTTTTGTTAGGATTTTTCTTTTAGAATATAAAATGATTTTTTTTTTTAATATTGTAAGCATTGACATTTCACAAAGTTATTTTAGCCATATTTACAGCGATATTATTGTAATGAGATATCATAATCTGATGGTGAGCTACCATAAAATAATGATCAATGAAACGCTGTTTTATATTAGTAATAATACAAAGGATATTGAATTTGCCTTTGAACTAATGTTCTCTGGGTATAAAAATCATATTCATTAAGCCCAAGTCTTTACTAGACAATTGTGTGGTATCCAGTCAAACGCCTTTTTGTAATCTAGGTAGCACTTACTCAGGTTTCTGCGTTTTATTATTATTACTATTGTTATTATTATTCGAGAATGTAATAGAGTTAATCGATCAAGGACTTAAAACCAATATAATTATGTGTCACCTGAGCAGGGCGAAACTTGAGTTTCACAGAGTTAGTAACAATGAGTTCTCCTTGTTGAGGTCATATCTGACTGATAGAAGGCAGTATGTGCACTGCAACGGGAAAAACTCATTACTTTTGTCAATTAACCATGGTGTCTCCCAAGGCTCCATTTTGGCACCAGTTCTGTTCATTGTGTACATAAATGACTCTCCCACTGCTGTGCCAAATGGACAGTATGTCCTTTTTGCAGATAATACATCTATAATCTAGCGACATACCGACAGGGGTGCCATAATAAAGATAACTTGGCTGCAGAAAGCAGCAGTAAGACTAATTGCCCATGTTTCAATTCGTGAACATGCTAGGCCGATTTTTGAAAAATTTCGAATTCTCACATTTACAACATATTTAAAAATAAGTACAAAGAATATAACATCACAAATATGAATAAGAAAATATTCTAATTCAACTTTCATTTTGTACCTATATATTGCCGAATGTTTTCTTTTTAAATTTGTTGTATGACTCAATAAACGATATTCTATTCTATTCTATTCTATTACTATTATGTATGTATTATAATAATTATTTGTTTAGCCACTAACACAAAAGTACGAAAAAAAAAACGAAGTAATTCTTTTTTTTGTCAAAGTATCTACAAAATCTTACCTAACAGATACTGTCGTTGTAGATCAGCAGCGCGTTGCATCTGTTCGGCAAGGTTAGATGTCGAGCCGCCCTTGCCGCTGTTTGCGGCCGCCTGCGCCTGCGCCATCGCCAACTGATAAGGGTAGAACAATGGGGAAAATTGCATTAAATGTGCTGGAGGTGCGCCGGACGATAAGCCTGCAACAAACGAGCCAAATATACTTCAACATAAGACAGACACCTATACTACCCTAGTACTATTTACAAATCTCAAGCAGGTCCGGTTAAGCCCTGAAGAAGCCAACAGGATGATTGGCGAAACGTCAACAATAACCAACGCAGAAGGAATAATATTACAGTAGCCTGTGGATGTTTCTTTGAAAAATTAGTGTACCCTAGTGTTGTATCAATCGCTATGGATTGGGTCAATTTGATTCGACCACTTCATATTACTGAACAACCAAATTCCGGTTGTTCATAACGATCCGAATGAGTTAGGATAATTATTGTATAGTATTGAGTTGCGATATCGATCGGTAGATTTGCTTGTGTGCGAAATTGAATATTGAAAGAAATGTCTCTATAAACATAGGTAATTATTTTAAATAAATTAGTGTATTGCTAATATAACCCAATACTGCGCAGCACCCATTTCCATAAAATCCTTTATTTTAATAGATATTAGGTTAGGTTTGATTAGTTATACGTACTTACAAAGCAAGTAGGAAAAATATATATTTAAAAAAATAAAAACGAATAATATTCAATGATGGAAAACAAGGAAAAGGTAAACTAGAAAATGCAAAAAATCCAGCTAGACTAACAAAAACTTAAGATGGCTTAGACTCGCAAGTCTTTAAATCTTTGTTTCATTTGGAATCTTTTTGTTTGCTCTGTGACATTTTTGTAAATGCTTATTTATAGAATTAGCAAATAAAACAACTTTTTCCCCCCAAAATGTAGCTCGTCTCTTCAAAGCACATAAATCGCAAAATATAAAAAATAGTTACATGACATATTAAAGTTGTAGGTTTTTAATAAGATCTTTCAGAAAAATTAATAATATATATGGTGGGCCATTTAAGGAAATCGAGATTTTGCAATTTAAAATGAACTAAATATATTCGTTTACTTTGAACACCCTGTAGTATATAATTTAAATTCAGTTGCATATATCCTTTACGTTATCTTCGAATATCGCTAATATCACATATGAGTTATTTAACTTGAAAAACATTTTCTTAGATTTCATATTTTTCACCTAAAATACTAACTTTTTTTTTTATTATATATATATATATATATATATATATATATATATATATATATATATATATATATATATATATATATATATATGTATATATATATATATATATATATATATATATATATATATATATATATATATATATATATATATATATGTATATATATATATATATATATATATATATATATATATATATATATATATATATATATATATATATATATATATATATATATATATATATTTATATATATATATATATATATATATATATATATATATATATATATATATATATATATATATATATATATATATATATATATATATATATATATATATATATATATATATATATATATATATATATATATATATATATATATATATATATATATATATATATATATATATATATATATATATATATATATATATATATATATATATATATATATATATATATATATATATATATATATATATATATATATATATATATATATATATATATATATATATATATATATATATATATATATATATATATATATATATATATATATATATATATATATATATATATATATATATATATATATATATATATATATATATATATATATATATATATTATTATTATTTTTTTTATATATTTTTAAATCATAGCCAACTATGATTGCCATAAAAAATAAGAAACGTATATTCATGTGTGGGAAAATGGAGAACTGCAGAAAAAATCTAAGTACGCTACTGCATTACGACCACCCTGTACATGAAAATCTACCAACACCAAAATACAGTACAGAAGTCACAATAAAAACAGAACACAGCTAAATATTATAATAGGTAAGACAGAAAACAGAACATATGGACATAACGAAATTTTAGGCTTATATTTGTACGGTAAAATATATGAAGAATGTGCACACAAAAAAATTAAAAATTATAGTTTTAAGATCTTTAGAAATTTTAAGTAAAAAAGCGACAGTTAAAATGGAACTACCCGACTGCCCTTACAGTTTACAGCTGGTAGTCGGCAACAAAAAGCATTGAAATAAACGAATGAACTGATGGATTCGGTTCACGTAAAATAAACGATTCACACAACACTAGCGTACCCCTTTTTTTTTCAAAGAAACTTCTTCTGCTGCGTCAATTTGTTGACGACGTTAAGTGTAACACCTAGCGTATCCGTTTTAAATTTTAACGTTTTCTTTAGAATGGACGAATACTACAAAAAAAATGCATTGGGGGCCAGTTTGCGCATACTTCTCAACAATTGCTGCTGCAAGGCTTGCACCGCAGCCGCACTTTGAGCAGAAGAGTACTTGTCCTGCACTGAGGGCGGGGCGTGAGAGGCCCTCGGTGGCGGCGGCGGAGGCGGAGTCGGCTGGGGCGGCGGTGGGGCGGGCGGGGTGACCGCGTGCCTCGGCGCAGGAGTGGGGGTAACCGATTTCGGAGCCAGCTCCGACGAGACGGGCGATTGGGCGGGGCTCCCCGATGTACTGAAGATGGTGCCGTTCTGCAATAGAGGGGATCATCGATTATCTCTAGTTCTATGAGATATATAAGGGACACCGCAAAAGTACGCAAAAATACCCGAAAAAAAATCGGAAAAATACCAAAACGCAGGTCAGGTTTTTTCCTCCCGCAACTCAATTTTTCAAGACATGAGTCGCGGTTAAGATAGTTTGGTTACTTACAGATTTCCACGGATTGTTCTTTGGTAGAATTGGTTACATGCAAGAATTTTAGTTTTAGTTTTTAGAGAAAAAGTTGCAATGACAAAGTTCTATTTGTTTTTAATTTTGCTTTAATTAAGGCCAGGAGAAACTGCAAATGAAATTGCTGATTTTCGATTTTTCCGGGAAAATAATATTGAGATAAATATGCCTTATAAAAATGTCTCTCGCCACCCTGTATGTGTTAAAGTTTAGTTCTTGATTTCATGATTAGCGTTGATATTCATGAATCTAACTAATAAATCTTTTAAACATTATTTTAAAACGCGGTAAATCGCGAGTGGTTAATACGCCGAGGCATCACGAACATTTACATTATGAAAATATGCGTTAATTGAGATACAGTGTGATTCATCCACACCCAAATCAAATTCTGAATAAAAGTTCGTAACATCAAAAAGAGCGAAGCAAAATCAAGGGAACGGTTCGCGAGACAATCGATTTTGCTGAGTTGGGTGTATTAAAATGCAAATAACTAGAAAAACTTATTTACTTGCAAATCATAGCTCTATCATAACCTCGAAAAAAGTGACCGTGCGGTACTAACAAAGTTTTCACCCGAAATATCGATACTATGGGGTGTAAATACCGAGTTTTAATTTAAAAATAAAAATTCGAAATCGTAATATTTTCCGTGTTATTTTATTTTTAACGCAGTGGTATTAATTTCACACACAGTCGTGATTTAGTAAAAGTCAACGTTACAAAATAAAAGTGTTCCAGAAATCTGTCGCTAGAGGGCTCTTTACCTACAACATTATTTTTATTTTCCCTGTATTTCATTTATTTAGACCGATATTGCAAAATAGAAATAGATTGCCTTAAGCAGAATCACAAATCCTCAAAAATCGTTACCCTTATTTTAAGTCGATAAGTGTTATCGTTTGGCCAGAAATTAGTTTTTTTATTCTCGGGCTTTGCTGGAAGAAGTACCCTTGCAGTGGAGACAAAACATGTGGTTAATGCAAGATGGCGCTCCACCCCATTTTACATTGGTTGTACGAAGGTATTTAAATAGGTCGGGGTGGACCTCTAGATTGGCCGCCTCGCTCACCAGACCTTAATCCGATGGACTTGGGGGCACTTTACTCTATAACATATCAATCATCTACAACAAAAAATAATAAACGGTTCCGAAATCATTAGAAATAGGTTAGACGTATTTTTTCGTATTCGATAGCTTTTTTTTAAATGTATGCATTTTGAAAATGAATTGTAAATAATGTTTAATTCCCGATTATTATTAATAACTTTTTATTTTAGAAAATGTTAAATGTATTTATGTTACTTAAATTGATTCAAATTCAAATTTATTTCAATAAAACAATTGTTTTCACACATCAACTATAAAGTATAAGATATCAAAATATATCACACTCTATGCATCACATATTATAAAATCTAATAAATAAGCAAATACAACTAATCAAAAGTATAAAACACAACAAAAACGAAGTTTACAAAATTTAAATAACACTTATGCCAATCCCAACCACAAACACTACCTTATCTATCCAAAATTCATATTTCCAAAATCAAACGCGAGACATTCTTATATATTGTAGAAAGCCCTTTCAAGTAGATTTTTTTTTAAGTTCGCTATTAACGCATTCAAACTTAAATCCCTTAATTTTCTGCATTCTTCACGTAAATAAGACACAATAAAATATAATGACTTGGCAACGTCAGAATATGGAGGCCAATAAAATATGGTCTTGCGTCATCGGCATATCCTATTTCCGACAATCTACTCTGTAAAGGAAATACACGATATGTACGAGCAGAATGGCCCCATATAAGTAAACCGTAAGAACACTTAGAGAGCAAAAAAGAGAGTGGTTAACCAACATTAACAAAGAGCAAGGCACAAGATCCTTCAGTGATCTAATTAAAAATACATCGCCCGTAATCCCATTACATAATTTGTCTACATGATCTTTCCACGTTAGATGTGGATCAAAACGAAACCCTAGGTATTTTGCTGAGACCGGATTTTCGTAATCATGGTTTCTATAAGTAAAAATTATTTGCTGTGTTTTTTTGCGGGTTAAGACTGAGTAAATTGCAGTTGCACCAATTATATATATCAGACATTCCATTGTTTAACTTATTATTTAAAGATAGAAAATTGCAAAATAGTAACAGTAAGATAGTCCCTTGACCAATATCAGTCAGTCTTATGTCGTTTATGCATATTAAGAATAGCACTGGGCCAAGCGTGGAGCCTTGTGGAACACCAGTGGTGTTGACTTTTACCTAAGACTTAGTTCCGTCATACAGTACGTATTGCTTACGATTGTTTAGAAATGGTACAATTAAGTTGATGCTTGTATCAGTAAAATTATAATATTTTAACTTGCGTAGTAATATAGTTGGATTTACGCAATCAAAAGCTTTTTGCAAATTATTAATATAAATATAAACTGAACATGCTATTGCATTAATTTATGCCATTTTTTCACTTTTTTAATTTGTAACGTACTGTTTTGAAAAATTTAGTGCACGTCGCCTGTAGGTCAATAATGCTGACCCACATTTCCACTTGCTTTTCCGTATCACCTGCAAGTTAGGGGTATTCGGGCCGAGAATAAAAAAGTCGATTTGTGGCTAAACGATAGCACTTATCAACTTAAAACAAGAGTAACAATTTTTAAAGATTTGTGATTCTCCTTAAGGTAATCTGTTCTATTTTGCAATATCAGTCTAAATAAATAAAATGCAGGGAAAATAAACAAAAATTCTAGGTAAAGGGCCCTCTAGTGACAGATTTCTGAAACACTTTTATTTTGTAACGATAACTTTTACTAAATACCGGCTCATTCCGATGAGAATTAAGCTCACTGCATGCAAAATAGAATTTAAAAAAATGAATTTTGACAAGCTATAACTCGGAATGAATTGAATCTTTCCTCCAAGTTGCCGAACTCCGAAGCCTTTCATTTAATGACTATTATCGAAACCTACCTGCGCAAGTCTCTGTTCGATTTCCTGCTCCTGTTGCAGGGCCTTCACGAACGCGGTTTTCAGTCTATTGGTGTGTTCTGCCTTGAGCGCCTTCTTCACGTTATTAGTGACACACTGCTCGCAAATTACCCTAAGACCTAATAACAATAATGATAATATTAAGAATAATAATAATAGCAATAATAATAATGTTTATTTTCAAAAAATCAATACTACAATAGTACAATATACAGCCCGGGGAACGAAAGATAAACGTTAGGATATACTACGAGATAACTCGGCCGGTATTTAATTGCCATTTTTGTCTCCAGCTACAAAAGAACAAACAAAAAATCAATGCTGGCTTTTGAACAGAAAATTTATTAAAAAAACGATTAAAATGAAATCCAAGTAAGCCCTTAAAAAAAACATTTTTCACGGTACGCATGGACTAGGATTAGAGTTTTTAATAAGTAAATATGGTTCAATCAAATTATCAAATTTCCGTAGCAGTCAACGTGTTAAGTGAGTGGCATCAATAGGAATTAAAAAAAAAAAAAAAACAGATACAATGAAAGTCAAGAGACGACGAAGGTTTTGATCCAGATATAAATTACGACGTATCTATTTTAAGAACTTCAAGCCAATAGGATCGTTTAAAAACGTGGATCAGTCGCAATTATCCATTGTTTTTTGCTTTGCTGGAAGAATGTCGCAATATTTATAAGTCAAAGAGTGAGTCAATGATAAAGTTATATCGTTGGTTTAAAAAGTTCAAAAAGTCTAAAAATTATTTTAAAGTATACAAGATGGCTGAAAAAAGCGTGACGAATAAAACAAACTTTTTTTTTTTTGAAATGGAACACCCACACAAATTTTGTTTTTAATTCCTTTTAAAAATTTTCAACTATATTAATAATAATAATAATACATACCAAAAGCTAGTAGTTCTTCCAATATTTTAATTTTTCTAAAAAAATTACGATGGTGCTCATATTTGATGTTAGCATTATTCGAAGATGGCATAAAAGATATATGCAACGGAATTTGAATTAGATGCTACAGGGTGCGCAAAATACAAGAATATATTTGAATCATTTTAAATTGAAAAATGTCAATTTTCTTAAAAAGTGAGGCCTATATATTATTATTATTTCTGAAAAAACCTACAACTTTTATTAGGTATGTTATATACCTATTTTTAATACTTTGCGATTTATTTTAACTTTTTTGATATTAACCATTCATTCTGTCTAAGACTATTGCTGTAACATTAGTTGGCCATGACAAAATGACATTGTCAAATTTTTACCTGTGTGAATAAATTCATAAAATTTATTTCAACTAAGTATAAATAAATGAAGTGGGAAAAAATACTTTTTTGGCATTAAGACTTTACCCGGCGAATTAAACTAATAAACTTATACCAAATAGACAATCTCTTCAGTGTTTAATGAAGTGGCTTGATACTAGTGGCAGTATTGAATAGGAAAAAATGATGAAAAAAGAATTGGACTGAATTATTATTCAACAGTTAACTTACACTTTAAAGTTATTGGACCATATTTTTTTCGCGAACCACGTAACAGACCTAGATAGTTAAATTTTTTGCAGAATGGTTTACCTCAACTTCTTCAAGAAGTTGATAACATTGTGGTTTCAGTAAGATCGAACTCCTCCGCATATCATAATACCCTATAATCATTACCCACAAAAGTGGATCAGTAGAGGTGAAATTTTTGCGTGGACCCCTGATCATGTGACTTAACATCAGTAGATTTCTTTGTTGTGGCGATATGTTAAAGGTCGCCTTACAACTATGCTAAATAACGTACAAGAAAATGTACGAAAAAGACTAAACATGTGTATCCAAGTAGCCAGGCATATTTTTCAACATTTACTGCGTCATTATAATAATTAATCTGTAGTAATTGGTATTTAATGTTATTTTTCTGGGAATTTAAAAATTTGGACGTTGTTTGCATCAAAATTGCTGTTGCTTTATCCACGCCTCCAACAAAGTTCTTTCTCCTGTTCATTTTTTAATTTGGCTACTAATTTTGTTATGGCCAACTAATATTACAGCAATAGTCTTATACAGAAAGGGCAAAGAAAAATAATAATATACATGGAGTGCCATTTACGAAAATGAGGATTTTTTTCACTTTAAAATGATCCAAATATATTCGTATATTTTGAACACCCTGTAGCAACTAATTCAAATTCCATATATATTTTAAGTCATTTTCCAATAACGCCACTATCAATCATCTTCTACCTTCAAAAATAATACCGCTATTGTATTTTTTTTGCAAGTTGAAGAGTTTCAAAACGAATTCAAAACGACATTTAAAAATAGGGTATTTCATTAAAAAAAAAGTATATTGTATTCGTCACGCATTCTTGATTCACTCTGTATACTTTAGAATAATTTTAAATCGTGCATCCTAGCAATCTTCACGACTTTTATATTTACCATTTTCTAATAATTTTTGAAATGAATTGGATAATAATCTACCGTTGACCTTTTTTTATATCTTTGGAAAACAATACTGGTGGAAGCTCTTATTTGTTATATCAGCGATATTTCTTTTAAGTTTCGCCTGCGATACTGTCCCAACCAGTAGATTTTTTGAATTAAGGCTATTTTGATATCTATAATACCCACACACATAATAATAAAATAGCTGTTTAAATCATTGCCATCGATTCTTATGAAAAAAAAAAAGATTCAAATAAGTACCAGTTCTTGGACGTTCTTGACTATTAATGTGAGAATTAAATTTAAATTGAACTAAAATGTTTTTACATTCCTTCATAATTATTATTATATTATATAATTATAACATTATATTATATTATATAATATATTACAATAATTAATATAAATAATAATAATAATAATAATAATAAAAAAACTGTTTAAGTAATTGGCATCACTTTTTAATAAAAAAAAAGTCCAAACAAGTACCAGTTCATGGACGAGTGACTTTATTAATGTGAGAATTAAATTTAAATTGAGCTAGAACTAGAACTATAATAATATTATATTATATAATAATATTATTACATTATAATAATTAATTTATAACAATTAAAATAATAATAAAATAACTGTTTAAATCATTGGCATCACTTTGTACGAAAAATAAAGATTCAAACAAGTACCAGTTCTTGGATGAGTGACTTTGTTTATGTGAGAGTCAAATTTAAATTGACCTAGAACTGCCGAATAAGTTTATATTCAAATCTCCAACAATAATGTGGGTCCGGTAATTTTTTGTAATTGATAAGTATTGATTTAAATTTAAATTAAATACTCGTTATTTCGTGTATATTGCAGTAAGCAAAATGTTCTCTTTTTCAAATGCAAACTTTATAGTTAGATTTCTATTCCACCAGCAGTCTCCTGACTGCTGCAATTTTAGATTTCATATAAACTGCAAACCCATCGGTTCGATTTAAATCACCCTGATTATATATCGAAGTCACCCATTTTACCTTTCGATTTACCCTTGCTCTCCCATTTCCACACCGGCGTGAAATCGGAGTTGCACTGGCTGCACAAGAATGGTGCAGGCGGCAAGGGCATCTTCGTCTCCTTCGTCAGGAAGTCGACCACGTGTTCCAAACCGACCAGGTAAATGAACTCTGTGTTGCTCGGGTTCGGGATGAAGTGCATCTCCGGGGGCGGCGGTTTAGGTGGCGGGATCTAATTAGAAATCGATACGTATAATAACTCAGGTTCCTGAATATCACGATAAATCGTTCGAATTAGTTAACTGCAGATGAATAAGTATAACGTTTTAACGGAAAATTTGCGGGGAATCCTCGAAAGAAAAATATTGTTTCGTGAGGTTGGTGATCATTGTACAGTTAAATTTCTTTTTAAAATGCCAAGACTTTGTAAAAATATCCCAGGTATGTTTTGCTATGTGTGTGGTTCTTTTGTGGTAAAAAAACTTAGATGCAAAATTACACCCCTGTTTGAAAAACAATACTACGCTAATTTTAAAGTAAAAATTGATGAGTTTGATATGGAGAGAGCCAACAAATTACCATGGTGACTGCTATTGGTGCGTGGATATAATACTAAAAATTTGTCTGCAAAATGTCTCAATACCTGGGAATGCAGAGAATTTAAAAGAAGATACCACCAATTGGAGTGTTTCGCAGCAAATACAATTAATTTCACTATCAGAATTTAATGACTTAGTGAGAGACTTAGATTTACGAAACCTCAAAATAAAAAATTATTTTCACAATTCGTTAAAATCTCATATTCCATATACAATTCTAAACACTGGAGATTTTTTATTGATTGAAACGTTCTTGCTCCGACACCTGTTGGTCATTCTGTGCAAATGAAAGAATGCTAAGAACATCCGGAACTACCGCTTACAAGGACCGTAGTTCGAGGATTTGTAGTGCTAGGTCAGCAGTCAGGATATATGAAATACCCCTGTTTTTTTGTGTGAGTGGGACAGTAGAAACGGTCAGCAACACCGGGTGAAAAACAACTCTCCAAAAATTTAATTTAACTCCTCGATCATCTTATTGATCCACGAAAAAAATCTCTTACCACCATTGTATATTAAATTAATACCGACGAAGAAGTACGTTATAGCTTTAAATGAAGATGGAGAAATTTTTGGAAAGGAATTTTTGTAGACACAAGACTTTGTGAATACCATGATCATTTACTGATGTTATAAAAGATTTTCTGAGCAACAACAAATATCCAAATTACAAAGACATTGTAAAAAAATGTTAGAGAAATATAGGGAAATGGGATGCAAATTGAATATGAAACTACACTTTTTACACTCCCATCTGGATCACTCAATGCCGTGAGTGAAAAGCAAGGTGAGAGGTTCCAAAAAGATATAAAAGAAATATCAAGACCGAATATATAAAAAAAACCACTAAACAAAGTTTTTCGGCCAAGAGAAAAAGATTTTCCAAAAACATATGAACTATTGTTTAAGAGTTTATTATTTAATTTATACTTTCCAATTCGATTTTTGATCTTGTACTAACAAAAATAATGTTTAAATTTTTGATTTATCTTCATTTATTAATGCTGATTTTAAAAAAACTGACAGAATCAAATGTCAGATCGAAATCAACTTTCAAAATTTTAAAAATTGATGCACTGTCTCCATTAATTATTAATTAACTAATAAATTAACCAAACTGAACACTGGAAATCTATGATTAATTTAGCGTCGATATGAGATAGATATGGGTATGGGGCACGCTAAATAAATTATGTGTGAAATGGATTTAAGAAAATGGTGTTCCATTTGAAAAAAGAAATTAGTGTAGCCAAATACGAGGTTCAAAAAGTAAGGTGATTTAAGTTTTATCAAAAAGTATTTATTTATTTATTAAAATTAATGTTGTCCCCTTCAAACTAACCCCCCACCCCCCGCCTCCTTGTGCTAATGTTTTTTTTCCAATCCTGGAAGCACTTCTTCCTCCTTCCTTTCATGGGTTTCTCGAGTTTTGAGAACAGAAAAAAGTCGCAGGAGGCATATCCGATGAATATAGTGACTGAGACATTTTGTTAGATACAACCAACGATGAATGATGAGCAGCATTATCGTCATGCAAAATCCATGAATTGTTTTCCCACAATTCCGGACATTTTATTCGAATTGCTTCTCGCAAACCGCGCATAACTCCAAGGTAATAATACTCTTTATTGACCGTACGACCTTGTGGTAAGAACTCTTGATGTACTATGCCTCGACAATTAAAGCAACAAGAAACAGCAAACAGTAAGCAAAAGCTTGGCATTTGATCGAACTTGACGTGCTTTTTTCGGTCTTGGCGATTCTGGGTTCTTCCATTGTGACGACTGGGCTTTGATTTCGATGTCATAACCATATACCTACAATTCGTTACCAGTAATGATTTTTTGAGCATATCAGGATCACCATTGAAGTCGTCCTTGATGCTTCGTGCTCCTTGGACGGTCCTTTTGTTCAAAATTAAGTAGTTTCGGAGTAAATTTTGCTACTACACGTTTCATGCTCAATACCTCGGAAAAAATTGCATGGCACTCCTCTAATAGTGATTCGTCGATTTTTCAATTCCATTTGTTTCACTTCTTCAACGCTTTCATTAGTTATTGACGTGACGTGGGAGGTCCATCATCGGCATATCTTGTGGAATAGCTTGTACCTCTTATTTTTTTTAGTCAAAGTAGATTCACTATCGCTATCAACATTTCAAACATTTTGCTGCACTGTATTCCATTTTTCTTTGTTCCATTTTTTTTGACAGCAGAAAATTTCCGAGCACTCAAAACACGTCTAACGAGTTATATGCCCCGAACAGCAGACGAAGCTCAAAGCTAAGCGAAGAACACCTCGCTGGCAGCATTAAAAGCTATATATGTAAAAGACACTCTTAATTATTCCAGCCTTGTCATCGGCTAGCCCTAATAAAACTTTATTTCTCTTTCTGTGTAATAAATGTTTTTAAAAACGCTCTCCATTTAAGTTTCGCAGTCGGTAGGATTTTCTAAGTGCAGTAGTGGAGGAAAATTAACTACTATCTTCTCGGAGTTTCTGTGAAATCGCCAATTGTGGAAAGTTTGAAACTTTTGGACATTCGCTACGTCGATTTTCAAATCCTTCAGCACACAGAACCAGCAGCAAGGGAAGCAGAGCGACGGTCTATGCAAAGTTATAACCCGCATGGGACGAGGAAAATTGAGCCGGAAAGGAGACGTAAGTGCCATTTCTTTTGCACCTCAGATACCTCTGTATAAGGTAACTTGAAGGGATAGTTCATTGCACGCGATTAGGTTAGAAAAAAGAGAAAACAAATCCAAAATCAATCAATTTTTATGCCCTTATATGGCATAAGCGAAGAGCAATAGACAATTCACCGCGGAAACATGTCCCGTCATCGAAGGAATCGACTTTTGTAGAGAAGAAACTCACCCCCGAGATGTATGCGTTGAGAATTTATTTGACGACATTGGAATGAAAAACTGCTCCATCACAAAAATGAACCTGTCAGAAACAATTGTAGAATAAATCACTCAAAATTTAGTTCTTGTTCTGCTACAGAAGCTTGAAAAACTGCAAATCAAGTGTAACATTTATCGATATATGCAAATCGAAGTACCCGTACTGATTAAGACGCCAGTAAAGTGTCAAATAGAAATTAATGGAGAAAAATTCTTCGACGATGTAAAAATCCAGTTCGGAAAACCAATATTTTTACCAAAAATCCATTTAACGAAAATGAACATAACGAAAGTCCTGGATACCCCCACAATCTTTGAAAAATGAACATCGACGTAATATACCAGCTTAACAGAAAAAATAACTCCTATGGAACCAGTGAAAGAAGAAACAAATATGTTCCAAATAATTGTTATTGCTTTTGGAATAGTCATGATTCTAATTTTACTCTTCATCGTTAAAAATCTCTCCTTGGAAAAGGGACGAAAATTGAAGAAAATCTGGAGGAAACCTGCCAAGAAGAAAATTTTGAAGCTTTTTCGAAAAAATGCTATGTTATTTTCGAAAGTTAAGGAGGGAGGAGTTATATACCCCGAACAGCAGACGAAAGCTAATCGAAGGTAACACCTCGCTGACATAGCATGAAAAACCCTATATATTCTATTGTCACAATGTAAAAGACGCTGTTAATTATTCCAGCCTTGGCATTGGCTAGCCCTAATAAAACTTTATTTCTCTTTCTGTGTAATAAATGTTTTTAAAAACGCTCTCCCAAATTTTGAACATTTAAGTAACGCTTCTGACTCACAAAAAAAGTGTAAAAGTGCAAACTGGCTGAAACCGTGAACGTATGTTACGGACATGTGTCCCAACACGACAATTTTTTTTACAAAAGTTACCTTACTTTTTGAACACACCTCGTGCTTTTTGACGGACGCTGTACATTTTGCTTTTGCCACCACAAAATGCAGTTTAAATGAATTTATTTCATATTTTAGCCTCCTTTCTTTATTCTAAGCGGTGCGTTTGAACTACTTACCTGCAAGAGTGTTTTCTCCAGTTGTTTTCTTAATGCCAGTTTGGCAGCCGCTTGCCTCTGCGCCGGAGTTTGATTATCTTCCCTTGTCCGATCCTAACATTTAAAAAAATATATATCATTTCAATACGAAGAGACGGAGATCGTAACAACCAAGTTTATTACCTCTGGCATTATATTCTGTTGCATGTTACCGCCCATTGGTTTATTATCGACGCTGACCGGCTTAAGCAGCATTAAGATAAATATTCCGGTATTATAAGGAAACATTTCTGATAATAAGTATACAAAAATTCACCCAAGAAGGAATAAAACTGACCTTGACGGATTGGGGCGGGGCCGGCGTGATAGTCACCGACGGAGACAGATCTTTAACGCCGGGTGGAAATCCGGAGGGCGGCCTGCCCATCGAGGAACGCTGAGGGGGTTGAGGAACTGACAGGTTGGCGGCCCTGCCGCTGCCGATCGGGGTCGCGGTGATCTGGGGCGGATGAATCGTCGTTCTAGGGGCGGCCAATTGCTGCAACGAAATATTACAATCACCATTGCAAATTTCGAAGAATAGTTTTTAATATTTAGTTCAAATGAACACCAATTAGATCAAAAATTTATTGAAATTAATTGAATACAGTAAACTCAGTTAATAACGTACATGGAATATAACGCAAAGAGTATAAGATAGAGGTCGCGTACACTGTTACGAATGCCATCTATTATTTATGTCCAAGTACTAAAGTACCGTCATGGTGGTTTAAAGTAATGCGTCACATTGAAAATAATACAGTAGCTTGTAACGGATAACAGCACTTTATATTTTAATAAAAAAAATTCAAAACTATTTCAACATAATTTTTTTCACACTTTACCTGTCTCTAATGAAAAAAAAACCTGCCGCACAAAGTCCACTTGACACCAAGCATTTTAACCATTGATGTCCAGAAGTTGTCCAGAAATTATGTGATAGATACTTTCAGAAGGTGCTGGGAAAAGAATACTGCTGAAGAGTTCGAAGTTCAGTGGGATGGTTGGCACTCAAATGTTGACGTGATTGCCAATAGATTTGTATGATCTGTTCATAGATATAAGAAAGTGAACGGATTATCCAAGGGCGGCCATTAACATACAATGCAACAAGATTATTATTATTAATTAAGGTAATTATTAATCAAGGTAATAATCTTGTTGCATTGTATAAAATGGAAAGTCAAAGAATTAGCCAGAGGATTACAGGGTGAGGATTTTAGTTGTTCAACAGGTTTTCTAGAGGATAAGTGGCCCGGTATTGCACCAAAATTACAGCTCTGAGGATATTTTCAATGGTGACGAGACTGGGCTATTTTACAAGATGACTCCAGATCGCTTAAATGTAGAGGAGAAAAGTGTTTAGGTGGGATGCGGTCGAAGTTGAGGTACACCGTTTAGGTTTGTACAAAATAGGACAGGAAGCGAAAAATACAAACTTCTTGTTATTGGTAGATATGAACGACAGAGATGTATGAAAAATAAGAAAAATCTACGTTGTCATTTATAAGTCAAACCAGCAAGCGTGGATGACTTCAGCAATTTTTTATAATCATTTAAAAGTATAGGATGAAAAACTAAAACGTCAGAATAGAAAAATATTGCTTCTGGTTGACAATTGTGCAGCTCATCCAAATAGCCTCTCAGTCGCCCAACCAATAGATCAGGGCATGCCTTAAGACATATTACCAAAGATATTTTTTGTATCGTTTAATCTAGTCAATTGAAAATAAGGAGCCTTTCAATATCACTATCCTGGACTCCATAAAATACTTCAACCACTATTTCAAACTGCTTTCGACATGCAGGTGTCACAAAATCGGAAGATGAGTTTGATTCAGACAATTACTTACCTCTGGTTCAGTGGTTCGAAATGCACAAAAATAATGACGACGATGACTGTGGGGTTGCCCTAAGTAATTGGTTGCGCAATACCGGCCAACATTCAAATGTATCTTCCAAAGCTGGATAGCTTCCCAAATGTTGATAATAATTTAATAACAACCGAGTTATATTATTACTGAAGTTTTAGTGCCAAATGATCCCTTAAAGCTATGGCAACGAAAGCGATGATGATGTTCAAAGGATGAAGTACTGAAGCGCTTTGTACCGCTAAAATTGTTACAATTTTTTTACAATCTACTGATAATGTAACTGATGATATTATGCAAGCATCCTGGAAGGTTGAAAAGCACATCGGGAATATGAAATTTGTATTGAGAAAAAATAAACAAATAAAAATAACGAACTTTTTTACTCCAAAAATAAAAAAGCATATATATATTTTACTTGTATGTTGTAAAGTTTATATAGATAGATAAGTTTTTAGTTTAGATAGTTTAGTTTCTTTCGTTTTTTAGTACCTATATTAGTCTTTGTTAGTTTTCCATTTTTATGTAAAATAAAAAATAATTTAGAGGGTACTTTATAACCGAAGTTCACTGTATACGATAACACTCCGCTTAACGCGTGGAATAATAATGGGGTTAGGGGCACATGGATAGAAAATTGGTTAGGTTATAAATTTAATAAAAATATATTTTTTTAAGAAAAATAAAACCGAACAATTATTTCCTACATAAACAATATAAGCGAATATACTTATAAAAGCGAATAAAATTCTAAGTCAATTTTATGCCTTTTTGTCAATGCAGTTTGCGTTTTCGAACTGGTGTCAAAACTTGAATCATTTTCAACAAATTGGTTCAGAATTTCAGTTATAGTGGTCAAATGTCATCGAAAGTTCTTTTTGCTCTTCTTCGAAAACACTACTACCAATATTTTTGCTTTCTTTTTGCTCAGTTAATTCATTAAGCTTGTCATTAGAAAGCCTAGCCGCTGTTTCTTCCATTTCTATTTCTATTTCTTCGACGTCCTCCACATTTAACTCATCTAAACCAGCATGTTTCGCTAATTCCACTATTTCATCAAATCTGGCCAAATGTCATTCCGAGAAAGGCTTATGTTTTCTGCAGAGTTCATGATAATATAATTTTTCCAAAATTCTCTTATTGATTGCTTCTCTTCTCCGTCTGATTTTTCAAACATCTGTTTAAATGCTCGCCGAAAGTAATAAGCCTGAATTTGCTGTCAGAAAATGTCGCCTTGGTCCATTGCTTGAATTAAGGCAGTTGACATAGGCGCTAAGAAAACTACTTCGACTGGAATGCATGTCGTTACGTCTGATAAATTTGTTGGGTAGCTTGAAGCATTAGCAATGAATAGTAGTGCTACCATTTATAAAACTTCTGGATTTCTTCTGCGTCGGTAGTTCATGAACCGAACTTAAGCGTTCAACACAAAATACACTTCACTACAACCATCCAAAGAAAATGAGACCGAAAGCAACCTCACAGTCGCCACTGTTGTCCGTCCTTACATTCAAAACATCACCTATCACCTATCAAAAGTTCTTAGGAACTTGTCCAAAAATTTCCCAACATCTTCGATCCGTCAAATACAAAATTCCGTTTGAGGTACCAGGAGTTCACAGCATTTCGTGCATATGCGGCAAAGAATACATTGGAGACCAGAAGAACATGAAAGGGCCTTAAAGATAAACTCATCAGCAGTTGCTTGCATGCAATCAATTCTTCTAAGAACGAAAAATCCGAGACTCTATAGAAATCTCAAACAAGAGCTTGACGGAAACTGTTTCAGTCAAGCTCAGAAGCCACTGAATTTTTTGATAGGGTTTGAAAACCAAAGACCATTTGACTTAATTTCAAGTTTAAGTCAAGCTCTGAAGAAGCCAACACGATGATTGACGAAACATAAGCAAGTTCGATTTATCAACAACCGACTTATGAACAATCCCAAAACTTTTGTAAATAGTATTACAGTAGCCTGTGGAAGTTTCTTTGAAAAATTGATTGAAATTTGAAAAAGAGATAGGCAGAAATGTTCAGTGAACCAATCCTGAAAAATTTTCATAGTTATCTTTTTGCAAATTACAAGCAAATTTGACTTAGATGCGCCTTTCATCGCTCTAGTGATGGGTTCTTGGAGTGGTAAACTAGTAGAGACTTTAATTTGAAATCTCCGCATGCGTTACCACCCAATAGAAGTGTTAAGCGTTCTTTTGCAGCTTTAAACTCTGGTGATCGTTTCTCTTCACGGGATAGAAATGGTCGTTTTGGCATTCTTTTCTGAATCAGGACTGACTGTTTTTCATCAACATTAAAAAGTTATTGTGGATGATAATTTCCTTTTCTGTAATCCTTATGTTGTGAAAATTATTTCGATGTTGAAATCTCCTCGACTGGCAACGAAACTTTCACTCATGTCGGCCACTTAAGAATATAACCTCACTTTTTTGTTTTATTATCAATCTTTTGAGTTTGGGAGCTGCTGTTCACGAAAAGCTAAATTTTCTGCTGTGATACGAGGTAGTAAATCTTCTACAAAATTATAAATCAGAGAAATTCGCTAAGAATAAAAGGTATACGTTTTGGATCAACAACTTTGAACTTAAAGTTTAAAAATGTGTGAAAGTTGTGTTAGGTTGCTTATTATGTTTATTTTTGCTATAAAAATAGCTAATAGGAATCAGAAACTCATATAATTCCTCTTCTTTCCAGAGATAAGACAACATAGAACAATGCAACTTTTGGATGAAAGTTTATGCCCTTCATACCAGCAGAATGACAACACATTTATTCAGCGCTTCTATAAATGACCCGACAATGTCAAAATCTCCTATGAAAAGAGAAATCCAAGTCATTAGATCCCTCAAATGATTCTGACACTGAAGATGGAGATGTTGCTCAACTTCCAGTCAAAACCACTACACCTACACCATCAACTTCTCGCTGTGACATATGACAGGAAATAGAAGTGACGGTTAGACATTTCGCTTTTTTTTGGATAAACGTTCGCTGTTCCATTTGTTAACAACACGAATTCCGCATCTCAGTAAAAAAAATGTAGCACTGCGAATTCTTCGACAAGGAAATAAAAGAAATTCTAGACCTAATAAACTCGAACTGCACTTTCTAATATTATTATGTTATGCAATAATAATAAATCGTAACTTTTACGTCAGAAATGTTTAATAGCCTACGTAGTTAATAATGTATAGAAGATGAAAGGCATAAGAACAAATTATACAGGGTGTCCAGTATAAGATCATATACATGGGGATATTGGAAAGAGATAAATATATAAATAGGAAAATATTGTAAATATTTAAACGACGCTGTATCTCTTACAGTTTCCGATAAAAGTTTTTGGGGGAAGGGTGAAATATTGATTTAGAAAAAGTTGAATAACTTTTTTCTGGGCTAATCAGATTGCGATGAACTTAGTTTAGTTTCAAAGAGTATTTATAGGAGCTTCGATTGGCATTAATTCTTGTACAGCCTGTCAAAAAAGCTATGATTTTTTCGAAAATTTTAAATATTTTTAGCTAGGATGAAAGAGCGTAAAAAACACAGCTAGAGATATTAATAAAAATGGGGTTAATATATTTTTTAACCGTAGCATAGTAATAGTACCAGA